ATGGGCTAAAGCAAGCACCCAAGGCCTGGTATGATACACTCTCTACCTTTCTCATTGCCAATGGATTCGAAAAATGTATCATCAATACAACCCTCTTTCTCAAGAAGCACAAAGGTGATATTTTACTTGTGCAAATATATGTGGACAACATCATATTTGGTTCTACCAACGCTAAATTTTGCCAAAAATTCTTAGAGCTAATGAAAAGCACGTTTGAGATGAGTATGATGGGAGAACTCAGTTTTTCCTTGGTTTTCAAATAAAAAAAACTTTAGAAGGAATCTTCATCAATCTGTCCAAATATGTGAATGACCTTCTAAAGAAGTACTCTCTCTCAAATTCATCAGCGATGAGAACACCTATGGCTACAGGAGCTAAGTTATTTGCTGATCAATCAGGCAAATCTGTGAATGTAACAACCTACAGGGGCATGATTGGATCACTCCTGTACCTAACATCTAGTAGACCAGATATTATGTTTGCTACATGTCTTTGTGCAAGGTATCAAGCTAATCCTAAGGAATCTCATCTCTATGCAGCCAAGAGAATCTTTAGATACCTCAAGGGAACTCCTTCATTGGGTCTCTGGTATACAAAAAACTCTAGCATTGATCTAATAGCCTATACAGATGCAGATCATGCAGGTTGCAAGCTTGATAGAAAGAGTACGTCTGGAAGCTATCAACTCTTTGGAGACAAGCTGGTGAGTTAGACATCAAGAAAACAGAATTGTGTCTCAACCTCTACAGCAGAAGCAGAATATGTTGCTGCTGCTAGTTGTTGTTCTCAAGTTCTCTGGATGAAGACCCAGCTAAAGGATTATGGATTTCAATATGAAAAGATTCCCATCCTATGTGACTCCAAGACTGCCATAGCTATTTTTGCAAATCCTGTGCAGCATTCCAAGACCAAGCACATCGATGTCAGGTACCATTTTCTCAAAGATCATGTAGAAAGGGAACAACAAAGATATATTTTGTTTTTACAGAGATTCAACTTGCTTACATTTTTACAAAGGCACTAGATGAGAAAAGATTTTTATTTCTTGTCAGTAAGATGGGTATGATGAATTTCACCACTTAGAGGCAAATTATCTTTTCAAACAAGAGATTCTCAATATCTCTTGGTTATGCCTAAAAGTGATATATTATAATGGCCCTCATAACTAAGTACTCTAAACCAGAGCTTCTGGTTCTAAAGACCAGAACCCCTGACCAATTTGAAATACTTGTTTATACTTTGCCAAAATTCATTCCCTTTGGAACCAGAGCCCCTCTGGTCCAAAGAAAATATTTGGGGTTTTCTCTAAGTATCCCCTTTCCAAACCAGAGCCTTTGGTTCTATAAACCAGAGTCTGGATTCCAAGTCCTTGTGACCAGAGCCCTTCTTGTCAAACTTGGTTCCCCCACTCATTAGTTATCTCATACATTTAACTTAAGTCATTTGTCTCTTTTGCAACCAGAGCCTCTGGTTCTAAAGACCAGAGCTTCTCGTTTCCAAGTTCTTTGTGACCAGATCCCCTCTGGTCCACCTTGGTCCTCAAAAGTCATATTTTTCACAACATTTTCTTTGCATATCATTCAATCCATGAAACCAGAGCCTCTGGTTCTAAAGACCAGAGCCTCTAGATTCTAAGTCTTGGAACCAGAGACCCTCTGGTCCTATTGAACCATCATTCCCACCAATCATTCATTCACTTGCACCATCTTTCACAACCAGAGCCTCTGGTTGTATAGACCAGAGATTTTGGTCACCTCATTCACCTCCCTTATTGGTTCTAGGGGGAGTTTTTATTCACTACACATCCCCTTGCATCGTTTAAGGGGGAGACATGCATTTCATTCTCATCTCTTAGGATCAAAATTAAGCCAAAACACTCCTCTGGTTGTACATCTCCATTCAACCAGAGACCTTCTGGTTCATCAAACCAGAGCCTCTAGATCACATAATGCTACATTAATGAAGTTTTTCATCCCTTGCATTCAACCAGCGACCCTCTGGTCCTTCATAAAGGGTATGTTTTGCATCCAAGGGTTTCAAATGATCATCCAAAGCCTCTGGTTAGTCTATCCAGAGCTTTTGTTTCATCAAACCCAACATTTCATGATGAAATTGTTGATCATTCATAACCAGAGACCCTCTGGTTCCCCCACACAATTGTCATGGTCAACCAGAGCTCCTCTGGTGTCAATGACACCATCTTTTTTTATAAAACCCATGTTTTATTGAAAGCTTTTTTTTTTAAATATTCCAATAAAGGTGGAATTTTAATTTTTTAAATTTTATTTGGGAATTTATTCTTGAGGTTTATCCTTTATAGTGATTATTTTTTTATACATTTTCTAAATAACCCAAACGCCTTTTACCCCAACAACGCTCCTGACAGCTTACAAAAGTTGTTCCCTAGAAACCCTTCATTTTCCCACTCATCCCACCCCCACTCGACACGTGTCATCCACCTACGCCATTATGATCGTGAGCATGCTTTACGGCTCATGATCACAATCACACCCACCTTTTCACCAAACGTCTCCCAAGCCATGATTACCTTTTTACCATTAAAATAATAATTTTTTTAACCCAACCCTTCCCCTCCCAACCCACTATAAATACCCGTCGTCCCCACCATTTCACTCTTTACGTGCACATTTATTCTCAAGAACCTTCAAAGCAAAGACAAACCTGCAACTCACTTACCTGCAAAAATGGTGTCATCCGCATCTCACGAGTCAAACAACGACAGTCTTGTCCAGTTAACTAGCGCCATCAGCCGTGCCATTGTCTTCCTCCCCATCAAACCAAACAACCATTCGATCGACCTCCACCCACAGCTCTTTGAGGACAGGTTTTCCATCCTCATTGAGTTCTTTCAGAACTGTGTCCTCCAACCGGCACTCACCCTCTCTGACAATGAGGTGCCGATCAAATACGTCCAACAATATTGGCAAACGTGCGAGTTCTACCCGAAGAACCGTAGAATAATGGAGGATATCGATGTCCCAAATGACATTGTGTGCTCCATCAATATTTCCAATGACAAAATCTCAAAGGTGCTATTTATTCCAACCCGACAGGAGCTTGGGATCGCCCACTATGCCGAACCGCCAACAAGTTCTGACATCCTTCGATTCATTAGGATGTTGGGATACAACATGGAGTTACGCAATGCCTCGGGCTTCAAGAGGCAGTTCCTTCCACGAATGTGGAACATGTTCTTCTCCATTCTCAACCGAGCCCTAACGTGCAAGCAAGGAAGCATGGACTAGGGGAACATCAACATCATGACCACCATGTATGGTATGTTCTTCAACCTTCCCTTGTACTATGCCTTGTTGATCTACAATGAGATTCATGCAGCGGTCGTGAAGAAGAACAAGTTCGTGGCTGCAGAAAAGCCACTTTCATCGGTGTTCTTCCCGCTTTTCATAAGGGACACGATGAAGATGCACAACTTGCCAAGCGATGAGCCATTCACTCCACAGTACATCATGAATGACCATCGCCCAACCATCTCCACGGATGGTTACCCAGTAGAGAGGCTCTTATCAAGGGCAATGTTAAGTGTAATACCTGCCACCTCTGCTTGTCGTAGGGCATACGAAAGCTCCATGCTGGTCCAACAACCGAGACCTGCTATCCCAGAACACATAGAGTCGTCCCCCAACACAAGCGAGGGATCTCAAGAGGATTCGTCTTTATCGGATGATGAAGATGATGATGATGACACACCTCCTACATCCCTCGGCCCTATACACACATCAATTCCATCACCCCCTCCCGGGGCAACCATATCCATTACCCCTGGCAATCAAGGCCAAAGAGGTATTGAATAAGGACCACCCAGTCCAAACCCAATCCAAGCTAACCATCCAGAGGCCATTCTTAGGACCTCTGGAGATGATCAAGCTGAGGAACCACACCATCCATCAGCTTTCTCTCAACAGGGGTGATGAAGATATAAGAGTCACTTCGCCTCATGGCTCGCCACTACCTTCACACACAGAAGCATGTGTTACTTCTGAATTTGAAATACCCATCAATCATTCAGAGCGATCATCCATTCCTGCACAAGCCCCCTTCGATACTTGATCTAGTGAAGGGGACACACATCTACTTCCCTTCATCGGACTCTAAATCCGATGAAGAAGAAGTTCATGTAGCAACATCACGAGATAGTTTCTCGCTTGAGGGCTATCAAGGATGTGATGGAAGTCCTCCCTTGCCTCACTTCACACAAAGCATCGATGGAGGCGCCTCTAGGACTGAGGCTCACCCTACAGCATCCGTTGCTGTAGGGGTTTCCCCACCAATTGCATACTTGGTCACAAAGGCTGAGTTCCAAGCCTTTGTTGATTCAATTCAGCGGTCCTTGGATGACCTTAAACTCAACTTGGCAGGGATTACTGAATCCATTCCATCGATAGACCTTTAATCAATTCAGCAATCACTTGCGTCCCTGGAGGCTCAATCGAGGGACAACAACACCCGCCTCCAGATCTTCCAACAGTTGATGGTCCAGCAACGCAACTCCCTTTCCACCCTTTCAATCGCCAGAAACCAGACCATCACTGCCACCCTTGCAACCCTCTCGGCCCAGATATCTGCGATCGTTGAATCAATAGCCTCCCTCACCAACCAAATAAATTCCCTCACCACTTCCATTGCCACCTTACCCTCCACCATATTTGCTAATTTACCACAAACAGTCCCCCCACCATCCCCCTCTGCGACTCCCTCATCCGATGAAGCCTTCAACATCTTCGCTGCAGAGGTACGCTCCATGATCTCATCCATCACCATCCCTCCACCAGCCTCAACCTCCACCTCCACCCCCAACAAATGCAGTCACAAGAGCTGACCTACGCGCCCTCTCCAAGGCACTTATTTCCTCTTTTAATGAGATAAGTGCCAAGTTTGCACATAGGGCAGCAGAACCAGCCAAGGCTCTCTCCAAGAGCCTTAAAGTACAGCAAGCGCGCACCAACTCCCTCCTCCTAACAATGGAGGAGACTCGAAAAAGGAAGGCCCTGAGGAAGTATCTTGCTTCCTTCAGGATGACGAAGAAGAGGAGCAGGGCCTCCTCAGGCTCTACAAGCCGCCCCCTTAAGAGGCCAAGACATGACGACCCAGACCAAGATGATCATGGTCTTGGTCCTTATGAGAGGGAGAACCCGGCTCAAGTACCAATGGAAACTGCTGCACCACCACCTCCACCACCACAAAGTCATCTAACCCAGTCAACCCAGGAACCCGGCGAGGGAACCAGAGGCTTAGCCCTCTGAAGATGTACAAAAGGTACATGTTTCCTCTGCCTGCACCCAAGAACCTCTACCCACAACCAATGAGTTCTCATCAATTGTAACACCCCCAAACACCACATATGCATATAACACATATTTTGTTGCATGGAAATATAGTTTACATCCCAAGGTCCCTCTGGTACAAGGACTCTTATATGTACAAAATCTACATATGAAAAATCCCAAAACAAAATCATGTACTATCACATGTATCTTAAAAAATAAGTAATCTCAAGTAGATCCTCAAAAGCAGATATCAGATCAGGAAAATAATCACATTTTCCCTTTCCCCTTATTATCCCTGGACCCTGCCATTCCTGCATTGCATAATTTTAAAACAGAAAATGAGGGTTAGACCAGAAGGGTCTAGTGAGTAAATCCCTTCTTTGCAAATGCAGGGTGATAAACACCGAAATATAATAAAGTATCTTTGCACAGAAATATTTGCAATATAATCAAATAATGCAGTTCTCAATAACATGTAAAATAGGATATCCCCAAGAACCTCAGTTCTATTAATATAATACATCTACTTAAAGATCCAACGTTCTCAATTATAATCAAAGCTTCTTTGAATCACCAAACCGTTTCTTTGTAAATTTTAAAGGAAAGCTTTAAGGCAATACTTGCTCTTTATGACAAACCGTTTTTCCCTTCTCAATAACATCTAAATTATTATTTCTAATAAGAATAATATCTCTAATTCATCAGGTCACAAAGAAACGATGACTCAAAATTATTAAATCCAATTAGTAACGATAATAAGAGTTATAATATTATGCACATAGGACAATGTCTCCCTTATTTCAAGTACACCTCTACTTGATATGTCACCCTTATTCCTTCATCATAACAGGGTTACTTATCAGAACATACAAAAGTCACCACGTCTGAAAGTACCCATTCCCAGTTCCAAGCCAGAACAGACAAAAGTCACCACGTCTGGGAGAACTACCTCTTAAAATAAGTTTCATATCAAAACAGACTTACGTCACCATGCTTGGTACAACAATGTATAAAATCCAATTCCATACCAAAACAGACTTACATCACCACGCTTGGTTGGAACATATCTTTTTATTTTAAAAGATATAAAATACCCCTTTTATAAATCCATAATTAAAAATGATAAACATTTATGTAAATGATAATGATACACAATAGAATTAGATCATCCGGATAAGATATCCGGACAATACTCAATCGATTTAGGAAACTAATCCGCACAATCTTTGGTCAATTTTAAGACTAACAAATTTTGTCAACTTTAGCCGGATATGAAATCCGGTTACTTCTTGTCCAGATTAGAAATCCGGATATCTTGTCTGGATATGAAGTCCGGTCAACATTAAAATAAAGAATCCGGGTAATTGATCTAGTATTAAACCGGTCAACCCTTGAGCGGTTTAGCTTTAAACCGGTAATGTCTTGAACGATTTAAAATAAACCCGGACACCCCTTGTCCGGTTTAAGATTGACTCCGGACAACACTTGGCCGGTTTAAATGAAATCCGGTCAACACTTGTCCTGTTTAAGGTTGAAATCCTTACGATATAGTGGGATTCAAAATAAAACAATTCCAATAGCAATGAATTGTATGCAAACAATTTATACTCAAAGCAGAATACAATCACCTTTATGCAAAAACTCAGATTTTGAAGAAGATGAAAACCAAATTGATTCCACTCGTTCTTCGGATAATTTTTCTCTCTAAATTTTCCAAAACTCCAAATGAGGCAAGAAGAAGCCTCCTTACCAAAAACTTCATATTTATACTTTCCTATAAAGGAAAGTCGGCTGAACTAGCCAACACCATCCATATATACATACATGTAATCACATGCCCACACATACATGCATACACCCACATACTTCATGCACATATAATTTCATATATAATATATATATAACATATATATAACATATATATATATATATATACTTACATATTCTGCATATATCTCGATGAATAAAATACACATACTCACGTATTCAATCCACGTAAACATGTATTCATCTAGACAATTAATTCACATAATAAATACCTTGGGCAATAACCAGGACCCAGTTATCACACCAATTTTGGTGAGTTCTTTCTCATCTGAAAACCCACCTTCACCTCATCCAGAAACAACCATACCTTTTATCTCATCACCAACACCTCCTCCATCACCACCTCAACCAGAACCATCAATCACCTCACCACCTCAACTAGAACCATCAATCACCTTACCCTCTCAACCAAAACCATCCATCACCTTACCCACTCAATCAGAACCCTTCATCACCTAAACAAACCAACCACAAACAGAGCCTACCCAAATATAGCCTACCCAAATAGAAACATCCAACCAAAAGCCATACCTCCACCATAACCCTCTACCACACTACCACAACCCATCAGCCAACTTATCCTTACACAAACACAACCACAGCCATCCATCACCCAACCAACCAAGCAGGTGCAAGAAGATATTCCTTTCTCATCGAAGCAAGCTCCATCGCAAGGCAGACTCGAATAAATCCTCTCCAATATGTAATCGCTAAGGAGACGTCCACCAATGCCTCAAAGGGAACCTGTTATGATGGAAAATATCCATCAATATCTCTACCATGACCGCGATGAACAGTTGGTCCTCAGTCCTCCAAACTTATCTCCTAAGTCGATGGACCTACTTCGTAACAGATTCGTGAGACAAACGACCTCTCCACCACAAGCCGTTTTCTCAAACGATGGAATCAAGACTATCTTCGACATCAAGATGAGAACCTTCATAAACAGAGCTATCAAATACATTGAGTACATCATGGAACGCGCGCATGGGATGATCAACGTCTTTAATGACAATGATCTAATCAATTTCAATCCATGGGACTTGATCAATCTTTATGGCCATAAAGCTTAGGGACAGGACCAAGTGATAAGGTATGGGATGGCCAACAGAGCGATAGTAGAGACGAAGGGGACCCTGGTCAAGTTCAGAGCAAAGAGCAACTTTCAAATAGCTCTTAAACTAGGTATTGAAAGACTCTCCTGCACACTTCCAGATGAAGATTTCCAAAGCTTACAGGAGAAGCGCTCTACATCAGTCCTAGCTCAACCAGAACTCAACTTGGTCTTCAAGAACGAGTATGGAGCTAAAAAAAGTCTTCAGAGTAACTGAGGCTTTCAAGTATTCAACCGAGACACTTGAATGGTTTCAGATAGTCATTCGAGAGAGGTTGAGCAGATCGCATGTGCCGATGAAGGAAGGATTGGAAGATTTATACTGGAGACCATGAGTAATTTATTGCATTTCCATCATGTACTTTTATTTCATTCATTATTGTAAGAAATCATCCAACTTTGTCCAATAAAAATATTTGGCAAAAGGATGTTTTTCTAGAGTAGCATCTGTCTTTCATTATTCTTTCATTGTTCATAGACTAGTAAATGTTTGTCTTTTCATTACTTAGGGGGAGATTGTTAGAGCCCATCATTCTTATTTGTAAAAATAATAAAAAACATACAAGTGTGAAAGAGCAGAAGGCCGATGGAAGGCTCACAAGGAAAAAGTCTAAGTATCCTATACAATTAGAGATGCGATAAAGGTCCATAGGTGTGATAAATTGCGCATCTCCATAACCACTCTGGTTACCAACACTTGGAGTATTCGACAACAGTTCAACCAGAGGTATTCATTCAAGAAGACCACAAGACTCATGGTTGAACACGCCCCCTTGAAGACAGCTGGAGATGGCAAATCGACAGCTGGATTCTCTTTACCTTACTTAGCTTTATTTAGTTTCCATATTTCTAGATTTCTTTCTTTCCATAAGAGATTTGCAATATATCTTCCATACATAGCAATCTCCATAATTAGATTACTAGTATAAATAGGTCTTATCATTCTTGTAATCGTTTACGCTTTCCATTCAATCAATTGAATAATAGTGAATCATTTGACACTCAAATACGTTCTTAAATATTCTTGTGTTCTTTACTATTTTTCCATTCACACGATATATTTAAGTCATTCATAACTTGAATATTAGTGTTATTGAGAGATCTGGGATCAACAATAGCTGAAGAAAATTTTTCTTCTTCGTTTAGCATCCCTAGTTCGCTAATCAAGATGTTAAATCTTGTCTCATCAAGAGGGTTGGTGAAAATGTCAGCGAGCTGATAATCAGTTGGAACAAAGTGAAGTTCAATATCACCATTCATAACATGATCTCTGATAAAATGATATCTGATCTCTATATGTTTGGTCTTAGAGTGAAGTACAGGGTTGTTTGCGATTGCAATAGCACTGGTGCTATCACAATAAATAGGAATATTTGAGAACTGAAGATCGTAGTCTTTCAACTGGTTTTTCATCCAAAGAACTTGGGCACAACAACTTCCAACGGCTACATATTCAGCTTCAGTGGTTGACGTAGACAATGAATTTTGCTTCTTACTTGTCCAGCTCACTAACTTTCCACCTAGAAGCTGACAGCCTCCAGTGGTGCTTTTCCTATCGATTTTGCAACCTGCAAAATAACTATCCGAATAACCTATTAGGTCAATACCTGAACCCTTAGGGTACCAGAGACCCAAGTTAGGAGTTCCCTTCAGGAATCTGAACAAGCGTGTTACTTCGATCAGATGAGATTCTTTAGGTTTAGATTGATATCGTGCACATAAGTAAGTAGAATACATGATATCTGGTCGACTAGCTATAAGATACAGCAGGGAGCCGATCATTCCTCAATAAATAGTCACGTTTACAGGTTTTCCATTTGGATCCTTGTTGAGATATAGTAGAGGAGCCATTGGAGTCTTCATAGATGAACTATTAGATAGATCAAACTTCTTCAGCATGTCACGGACATAATTACTTTGACTGATAAAGATGCCTTTATCTGATTACTTGATCTGGAGACCTAAAAAGAAGGTTA